ATTTGTAAAGAATTTACATTTTTTCATTTATCAGATCATTGTTTAAATGAATATCATCATAATTAATAGTCCTTTGTTAACTTCTACATACTTAAAAAGCATTGTCAACTTTTTTTTTTGCATCAATATAAAGGCTGCTTCAATCTAAAAATATCTTTATGAGATACAGTACGCCCCCTGAGCTATTGATTCACGGTACCATTGACGCACAAAAACTTGCTATGACGCAATTACTTGTGCTAATTCACTGGCGCTTCATTGACTGACGCAACAGAAAATTGTACATTAATATAGTGATCTTGACAAACATCTTATATAGTTATGGAATTTGTAATTTGGTAAAAATTTAGTGTATAAATGAAGGGCCACAATATATTTTTGTTCGTGCCTCAAGTCATCTATACATCAAGACCAACCTCCTGAATAGTCAACACTGACAATGTGATTCGGGGAAATTCCATTTTGACTCAGGATCAAAGAGTTAACAAATTTAATGTGAACAAAAAAATAGGAAGACAAAACAAACACACACATGACATTTGAACTTTTTATGACAAATCCCCTACGAATTAAATAAATGGATACAAATCAGTTGCATACATTTATTAATCTCAGAACACCAATAACGCTATAAACGTACTATCACAGTGTGCAACTTCAAGTGCCATTTAGAAGCCTTCCATTGATAGGCTAACTAAACACAAGTACATGTTATCTATGGAGCTTCATTAATAGTCTTCATTTTCAGATTGCAAAGAAACATGTTTTACTCAAACGGAAATGGGTAATATATTATCAAATATAGACGCTGAATAATTAAAATTACACTGATTATAAATAATTACGGTTTATGTGAACAATAGAGAGATTATCTTCCCAAGTCAAATGAATGTTTCATAATGGTGCTTTTGAAAATTTCATCATTTTTTTTTGTCCATTAACAATGACCACGAATGTGATTTATAGTCGATACATTGTAGGGCTACCTTAACAAAATAACAATAGTTTGAAATGCATCATGGGAGCACCACGATTTTGTAGGGCTTCACTGTTAAAATAGGGATCTACATGGAATTATAAAATTTTTTCAATTAAATTCTTTTTAATTGAATTCTTTCTGAAGAGACAATTTGGAAATAGTGAATTAATATGTGAATTGACATTTATAAAGCTTTTGAAGGGTATTTTTTCTCATTAGAATCTAAAATTTAAGCTAAATGTAATTTAAATAATCCAAAAGATGTACAAATTATACAGATTTGCTATTAAGCAGTTTATATTTATTTCCAATGAGAGTTTCATTTGAAATGAACCACATGTTTTTATCTACAATTATCGCAGACGGCTCGCTAATAATTTATTACAGAGAATGGTTCAAAATGATAATTAGGTACCTAGGACATTAATTTACTGCACAATCAAGATAATGAACAAACATGAAGCTTTGGAGTTAAGACCCCTTCCCCCATGCTGAAAATGGATCATTTTACCGCTACTCAACCACAAAAATGTAGGTACTGTAAAATGGTTAATTAATCACTGGGTTTTAATTTGGCTTATTTCGCCGACTGGAAAATGCGCTAAATTAAAACCCAGTGAATATGTAAAATTTAGCATAAAACACATTATTTAAATGATAAAACCGTGAATTTAAAACCCACTGAATATGTCCGAAATGGTAAATCAGCGAAATTTAAACCCAGTGAAAATTAGTCATTTTACAGTACTTGAATCATGAGCCTAAATAGTAGCTATAACAAATGTTACATGTACTTTTGAGATCATGAGCTGTAAAATAGTACTATATTTGAAGTGCATAGAAAATTTGTCAGAAAATTAGAATTAAATAATAGTGCAATAACGGTGAATGAAAAATGCAAACATTTTTTTCTTGTAGATGTGCATCTAATAGGATAAATACAGTATATGAGAGGATCTTGTTCACTGTGGTATAAGTTTGAATTTATTATTTTATAACTCCATTCTTGAAATTCAACAAAAATAATTGGTGACTTTCCTCTTTCCTGTTATTATAATACAAAGCCAATAAAGAAACAAAACACCTTCAAAGTGAAAGTCATTTACATGACTCAATAAAATCGATATATTGTAGCAAGGCAGATCGGTTGATGACCCGAGGGCAGCCGGGATTATTGAACAATCCGTCTGGAATGGACACACATAGGAAGAAGTTTTGTCAAGCGAAATGCAACAATCAACGCATTGATAAGTAAGCTCAATAGCCAGTCTTATAAAGGCATTTTAAAACAAACTCATTGATATGAGAGCCAATAGCATCTAAGCGATGATGTCATTTCATTTGAAAATGTATATTGACGTAGGCTAATAGGTATGCCAGACTACCAGCACAGTGTATTTTAGTTCAAACTAACAGTAACTGCAGGTAAAAATACTAAAATACATTCATACATGCACAATCAGATATGGTGACTCGACACTTGAATTTGACTGGGGCAAAAACACAGTTTGAATTTCACCACATGAACAAGGGAAACATGTTGGACCAAGTAATCTCAATGTAAACTAATATAATCTTGAATTGCAATCAAATATTAATCTACACATTTTTTGAAGGCCCGATCCATAACAGCTGGTATGACTCATGTAAAACCCCTTATTATGCCAGTTATGAGGTCACACAAAAGTCACTGGATTAATAGTATATAGTTACACCCATATACATGTATGAAGTTAAAAGGTGCCATTCCAGTAGTGAAAATGATGTCATCAAAACAGGAAATACTGTTTTTTATTCTCTGTTGATGCCAAGCCCAGGAAATAAGTTCACATGTATCCGCAGGAACTAGTGTTACCATACCATTTTTTTTTTTTGGCAGAAAAGTTTATAAGATTTATTTAAAGTCGTATAACTTTCAACTATCACATACAGGATACACATGTATAAGAAAACAATTATCTATAATGCATACCCATCGAAGTTGGTTAGTTCTTCAATTACTCAAAACTGGCAGTTTATATTCCAGTGGCTATGAGGTAGGATAGAGATAATTAATTAGGTGGCCATACAAAAGATACAGCCAAACAATCTCCTGTTAGTTGTTGTCAGTTCAATGATTCACCATACCAGGTGTGTCCACATACTTCACTCTGTGGTAGTTTTTAATTTCTAATTAGACACATGAATATACTGGAGGTTACAGTTTTTTTGGAAAAACACATTTAGCAGATTTAGTCGTGACAGACTTCATTTACTGTCATTTGGGATGCAATTATACAAACAGAACACGTACAATACCATCACCTACTTCATAATACCTGAATTGGTTCTGAGTAATGGTGCCTTGTTGTCGGTGGAAGAAACTGATTTCTTGTCGAATAAATATTTTGTTTGTTTTTCAGTGAATTATTATTTGAATAAGTTACTATATTTTTTTCAGAAATGTCCAGCTTCCTCATCAAGCTTTGGTCTAGACTATTGACTTTATGTCTATCTGAAATAATTTGCATGTAATCAACATAACCAGTTAGAACAGGAATTTATAAATATCCAGATTTCTTCATCAACATCAGTGCCAATACCAAAAACATAATCAGCATGAGTCCGTTAATGGGTGTGCCCCCCACCCAATCACCACAAAGCTTAACATAACATGAGAATATATGTATATACAGTGCTTCATGCAAGAAATTGTTATACATTGCAAAACAAATTATATATTATATTATATATTATTAATTTGCCATACTGGATTAATGGAAAATATTTTCATCCCTCTTTCGAAAAGAAAATAATACAACCACGAATGTTATTGTAAACTCAGTCACTACAGAAACTATCTATTATAACATGCAATCATACCGCAAAAAAAGGACCATGGCAGAATTGTTCTTTACCCCTGAGGGTTGATATTAGGTGGAATGACACTTAGTAAATGCTTGAGAAAGCACATGGACTGTGGCAACCCTTAAGATGGCCTCTCGTTCGGGTCTACAGATAGGGCACTTTCTTTTTAATTAAAATAAATAAATTAATAGTTTAATAATGATATTAAACATGCAATTGACAAAAATAATGAAAATGCTAATTTAGTTTTCAAATAACCGTTAACATCATGAATAATAATACTAAATAAGTTATTTTTTTTGTTCACTTGCTAATTACTTAAGCTTTAACTGAGATCAAGATCAATAGCTTTGTGTGATCTTGAGTATGAATGGAGAAAATAAATCTCACACATTTCGCCCTATTTTTAAAAAAAATACAGTCACTTATGGATAACATTGTTAAATATTTTGGGGACAGACTGGAATTTAGAATGTCTTGTTGAAAAAACAAAATGTACTACAAGTCCTTGACTGGGTCCGATATATATGCGGTGGCTTAAAATTCCAAAATGGCAAGAAAGTAAACAGTAATGGAGAATGCTATTAGGCGTACGCATATTTGTTACATCAGATAGATTTTCTCAAATTATAGTAAATCAGTACACACAAAACGGTTCAAGAAAGAAAGAAAAAAAATACATCATGACGTTTAACGTTTAGTTCTCTGAACTCTTCTGTGCATTTGTGATCAATTAATTAATGAAGTGCTATCTTTTTAAAAAAAAAAAAGTAAAACGACGGTTTAAGTGCGAGAATTACACGTTCAACTTCTTATTCCGTAGGACAGTGTCCCCTGTTTGGCCCCATCGAGATCAGACTAGAAAACTCACGCCCACATCGCATCCACTAAGATGAGATCGTCTGTTCACACCATTTCCCGTCGCAGTCGACTGTCATAATTGTCTTGCGACAATTCCGAAAAAAAAATCGCACACCACTGATCGTAGAAATAAACTAAAGGCAAATAATCGCCATATGTAAAAGAAGCGTTGTAATAATCGCGATTCCAGCGATCAATCGTAGTTTTCTGAGTGATGAGGCGGCATGCCACATGCACCGAGATCGGCAAATCCTGCTTTAATCTGTAATAGTGAGTTTAGAAACTGTAACAAAGCAAAACATCGCCAACTTACCGTTCGATACCGCATCAAGTATCGGCTGGACATAATTCTGCGCCACTGGCTCCCCGATTAATATCAACAGATAATGGGTGATAGAGTCGGAAAAACCGCCCGAAATAGTTGAAAATTCAGGAGCACCATCAACAACGGCATTCGCCATGACGAACAACCGAGAAACGAGAGATGAAGAACAGGAGGATGAAAATAATAGGAAACTATTATGTTATTAGTAGCACAGAATATATATATATATTTAAAACAAATATTTGTCTTTATTTGGACATAAATGTTATTATTGACTATTTGTAATTTATAATAATTATATTTAATATTTAAGTTGATTAACAAGTGGAAAATAAAAAATGTATTTTAAATTTTTATAAACCTAATCTGCAATTAGAAATGTTCTATAAACTCAGTCTTCATGACTAAAGGACAGTGGCCTCCGTGAATTGATTTGAAACAATTTATTTGATTGGAGCAAGTGTTGACGGAGGTGTTTTCTTGTTTTACACTAGACCACAATGCCATTGTTTCCAAAACCACTCACGATAGCGGTATTTAATTCATTAATGGGCAATATAACTAGAACTTGAAATTTATTGAAACTGATCTTGACATTTGTTTCGCTACACTAAACGTAAATATAAGGTGGGCGTGCCCGCTTCGCGATGTAACCAATCAACATCGCTGTAACGAATCGCACATAGAGTATACCTTTGGAGGTACCGGTGTGCTGCGAAGTGTCTGCAGTTTCGTTTCTGTACTATTTTACTGCCATTTTGCAGTTGAGTTCCGATAGGTGAGTTAAGAAAAACGTACCAGTAATCCAACAACTATATATTTCATTTACTAAATCCCATGTTTTCAGCGTGCAACCGCCAGTGTGCGCACGTTTTGAAATAAATCTGCACTCCTCAATGTCCGCGCTCGGCAGACGACTAAAATTTTAAACTATGTCGTGATTCATCATATATTCGTCGTTGGCAATTGTAACTAGGTCCGATGGATTGTGTGTTTTTGACCCCCTCTCCAAGTGTGGCACTGCTACTAAGAAAAAAACAACAATTTAAAATACCACTCCACACATGCGAACATTCATCCCCTCACATAAATACATACGTAACCAAGTCAACCTAGTTGCGTAACCAGTATGTTGCAAATGTTTGCATATTAATAATTAAGGATTTGTTGACAATATTTATTGATATAATTGGGGTAAACACACATTGCCATTTGGATGGGTGGATGTATTGGGAGAAATTGCATCTGTAGCACCCCACCCACCCCTAACTAGCACGTACCCCAGCCCTCGATCTAATTGGTCAATTGTACATGTCCCCTCTTGATAACTATAGGTGTTCTAAGGAGTGGCATATACAATTGAATTGGGTAGCACTGGAGGCTAGGGGTGGGATTAGAGTTAGGGTTAGGGATGGGATTGCAAAAAGAACTTTCCTAGCACCATAGATCATAGCCTGTATCAGCATGGGTAACCAAAGTATGATACCTTTGACTTTAAATCTAATCTAGTCAGCCTCATGTGCTTTTTTACATTGACTTGACCACAAAATGGTTAAAGTGTTGTGGTCGATGTGCTGCTCACATTCAAATTCGGGCAGTAAATAGTTGTACACGATGCATGGGACCCATGCTGATAATGACGCAGTGTAACAACTGCAGAACAGTAAACTAAACCTTGGTTTTTTGAAGCTGATATTTTTTGTTGGTCAGTCAACTCCTTATATAGTATGCAAATTACACACAGTTCGTTGTCACATAGTCATTATCTGTGATTTACTGTTTTTGAAATCGTACTACTGTAAAATACTTTATTTTCTCTGGAATAAATTTTCGTTGAAAAGACTTTTTGGGTGTTTTGTATGTATTTTCACTGATTTTTGATGAGTTAAATGTGAAATATAGGAAAAAAAGGTATATTTGCTAGATTTTATTTTCACTGAATCATTCCTTCAGTGAAAATAGCGAAAATAAACTCCAAGTGGAAATAAAGTATTTTACAGTATATGTATTTATATGTATGTTATTTGAAATTGTATAATGACCTACACATGTAAAGGCGAAGAATTATAAAATAATTCTTAATGTCACAACATTTTGTTTCAGATCATTCAAAACGCAGACTTCATCAAAAAAGCAGAAAGTCTGCCATATTGGCTGTGCTCCAACATCAACATCTTCCATTGCCATGGCTACGGAAAACGTAGACATTGATGACTCTTTATACAGGTGAGATGCACATGCATTTCTGACGACTTTTCTGTCTGTTATACATACACTTACGTTGGTGCTATATTGTCTTAAAGGCCATATCCTTGGTGACTATACTATTCTGACTTTTATATAATTGATTGAGTTTCATCAATCTGTCAGTTGTCAGTCAATAACTTTTATGAACATCTGAAAAAAAATCATACTTGTGACAGTTTTGGTGCACTATAATTCATTCTAAAATGTGGTAGAAGACTTTATATTGGTAAATGTGATTAGTTGTCATTCACACCACAAAGATAGTGGAAAAAACACGGAAATATAGGGGACCATGTTTGGCTGTAATCTCATTATAGCACCAATTGCAATGAAACTTTAGGCCTTCCTGCCATTCGTCATATCCTTTCTGTGAGTGATGAAACAATCAGCTGATCACAGTCAGGATACAAATGACTGTATTTCCTGTATAAGTGTTACAGCTTCGATTTACAAACTCTACAGCCAAAGCACATACAACATCATGAAAGTTGCAATGACTGCATCTGATACAAAATTTCTCAGTTTTCACTAACTTGTTATTAAAGTTCATGAAAATTTAAGTAGTTTACAGTTTGTCTTGTGATTTTACTCCTTACTATCGTAGCATTTTAGGCTTCCATTCATTCTACTCAGAATTATGTTTCTCACCTTGAATATAATGCTCCCCACCACCCCCACCCCCGTAGGTGATTTTCCGTTCACTGCGAGATCTTGCATATTACGTGAAAGGCCCAGGACCGAATGTCTGCCACAAAAATTGGAAATTCGATTTTGAACTTGAATTCCTATTTTTTATAGCTCATTGTCAAAATGCTGATCTTTGAAAGGGGAATATTGCATTTAGACACCTTCACTTCATGAATATTGACTATCATCAAATGTGTACTAAATTACTTTTGTGTTTGTCAAATCCCATGCAATGTTTTGACATCACTACAACGCTATGACCCAAGTTGTCCTGTTTTTATGTTCAATTCCACACATAATGCAGGATCTCACAGTAAATGGTCTATAGCTTCGTAATCAAGTATTAAAACACAATTTGATGAGCAACTCTGTTACAATGCATGCTCTGTTAATTCCTGCCAGTAAGGTTGTATGGTTTTTTTTCATGTCAGCCAAAAGGGCTGTATAAATATTCTTTAATTAGTTTCAGTCAATTTCACATCCTAGTTCTCTTAAGTGGATGTGAAATCGGTGATATTCATTGTAATTAATTGTAATTAATTCTGAACTTGGTAATTAGCTTTTCTCTCCAATGAGCTTTTTCCAGAATCAAGATCTGAGAGTTATTTTTTCATTACTCATGATAGCAAATATTTCAATTTCGCTTTACAAACTTAATACTTGAACTTTGCATAAATAATAAAAGGCCATTGTTTTATTGGGGGGGGGTGTAAGAGCTATTTCGTCTTGGTGACAAATATCAACTTTTAATTAATTTTTGTAGCTGAAAAAAAATTGCATTTTCATTCAGTCTGTTTTTGAGCACTTTTGTGCTTGAGGGGAAGGGGTGGTGTCTGATCTTACATGGAATAACCTTTCCTTTTTTGATGAACTTTGACAATTAGAGAACACGCTTTACCATAGTTTCGTTGATGATAATGATAATTTGTTTCCCCATTTCACGAAATTCATCAAAATTTGCCTTTCTACAAAATAAAGCAGTTCACAGTATTCTTTCCTCTATACCAGTATGCTATTTAGTTAAAAAGTAACACAATTTCACTAATCTGCTGTAAAACATGTGTTATCATGTGACTCGTTGATATGTAAGACAACATTTGCATACTCTTAAGCTCGGAATTCAGCCATTTAGAGTACCCTACCTAGTGCACTCAAGAATGGTCTAGTAAATACTTGACGGCTGTCTGATTGGCTGTCTCCATGACTACATTACCATTGGAACTTGTATGCTCTAAATAATATTTAAAAAACCATATTTGTGTTGACGTTGAACAGATATTCAATTATTATTTTGCAATATCATATTTTTTTTTTTTTTTTGCAACCAGTCGTCAGAGATATGTGTTGGGCGACAGTGCAATGCAGCGTATGGCTAGATCCAATGTGTTACTCTATGGACTTGGTGGACTGGGTGTAGAAATTGGTATGTATTATACGATATTGTTATTTAATATGAGTCATCACTCTTAAAATAAATGTGACTATTATTCACCAAAAATGTTCCAATCATGTTGATCTATTGTATACATGTATGTAAACAGATTACAGGTGTGGTACCTTTCTGATGCAAAATAAATTCTTGCATAATTGTGTGAAGAAAGTTCTTAGGGCACACCACTTCAATGTTCATGTCACTATCATAATTAACTACTATGATTTATCACAGTCTTTCTCTTTAGTTTGATGAAATATTTACTGTGCACAGTTATCAATGAGTTATCAGTGCTGAGGCCAAGAAAAAAAATGTTTGGTTCCTATAACCTATTACTGCCTGACCCTGAACTGTTTTGTAGCCATATTGTAAAATATTTTATTTTTGCTTTGAATTGATTTTTGTTATTTTCTCTGAAAGGATGATTAAGTAAAAATTAAATTTAGTGAATTTACCTTTTTTTCTATATTTTACATTCAACTCATCAATCAAAAATCTCTGAAAATAAATCCAATATGAAACAACCAAATGGTCTTTTCCTTGAAAATTAGTTCCAGCAAAAATAAAGTATTTGAGAAAACATCACAAAATTGTGGCAGGTTATTTTTGAAAAGCATGTTATATGAATCACAATTTTTTTTTTTATTTAGCCTATAAGTTTGATATTTTTTGTACACAGTCAGTGTGTATTGCATAAAAGAATATGTCTTATATGTGGTACTTTTTCTTCTGTTTTCTTTATATATGAGTCAAAGTATATTTTGTCTTTGACTACATAGTAAAAATGTGGATCATGAAGTATGCATAAAACATATATACATCAAACATAGCTGTACACTGAAATGTGAGTTTTACAAACACTATTATGTCCACACCATTTAATATTTAATAACAGACTATGTGATGCCCTGTTATCTATATTTTGCGCTCTAGTGTAGCTAATTGGCATGCTAATTGACTGTTTTCAGCTTGTTTATATTGGGTCTGATAAATGTAGTTTACTCAACTAGGTTGAAAGTTAGTATGTTCATACTGTGTATATAGTTGAAAGGCTATCAAACACTCAAATGGATTGGAACTTGCATAATGCATGATTGATAATTGTTTGGAAGCAGACTATGCATATTTATTAGCAAATTTTCAATTAATTACTGTAACTTGTCAGCTTATTAGTCCCTGTTCTGAAAATGAAGTCTTATAATTTGTGCCCAGTAGAATTATTGATTCCTGATGTCGAGGGTTCCTGGTGTTCGTCGGTTTCGGAATCGTAACCATTCCTAGTTTCATTCAATTCCTGTAATGGCAAACCACTTGAAGTTGTAGCGCGTCCTTTGTTTAGCTCAAAGTTGTTATCAATGACTTTCTGCTTAAATTTGTTGGCAGAATAATACCAATCTTCTCCAATATTTTATGAAGCTCCTTCGCAGACCAGTTGTTTGGGTTATTAGGATGGAGTGTTGTTCCCCTGCATGAATTCGGAACTCAGTGTTTAGTGGTATGAGTACTATGGAAACTGTGTTCTCCATAACGATATCGTGAAGATAATTATGAGAATCAAAAAATTTAACAAAGGAGTTACTGCCACGTTAATCAAGACTGAATCAAGATGGCTCGTTAACTACTAAGATCTCAGATCAATGCGAGAAAGTGTGAGATATTTGTGTCATAAACATTGTTAAATTTTATCACATTAAACATGCACGTATACACAAGCATTTGTTTCAAAATCCAATTCAAGAAGGCCGAATGGCAGCCATTTTATTGCTAAAATTTCATCAAAATCAAGCATTTCTAACATTTCAGAACCTAATCTTAGTTGTGCATGGACGTAATTCATCAAACTTGGTCTGTTCATTAAACATAATGCATATCATTTTGTTTTTTAGATTGAATTCATATAAAACACAAGACAACACATATATGGTAATGCACATATGCTTTGTGCAGCACAAATTAGAATTTCTTGTAAACTAATGATGTATTTTAGTATGTACTGTAGTATGTTAACTGACGGGACGTTATTTCATGTCATAAACCATTTTTATTCAAACTCGGTGGTTTTTTTACTCGTGGATGCACATCATTTATTGTCGTGATTTGATTTAAAATGGCCAACTGGTAGTCATTATTTGTTCTCATGCATCCTACCTTTTCTCAGATTCACTAATTTTTGTTTTCTACAAATGCAAGACATAATAGTTTGAATGTTCTCTTCACTGGCTGTTTCAATGAATTCTTATCGTCTGGTAGCCATTTTTGTCAAAAAAAAACTTAAATCGTGAAATTGGAACATGTCATCAACCATTTCTCAGTCATGTCTGGGCCAATTTTATTCTAAGTTAGTTTTATATGCAACCATATGCCTTCACAGATGACAGATTTGTTCAAAGTTTCTGCAAAGACAAGACATAATTATATCCTCAAAAGTTACTTCGGCCAAAAACAGATGTGGAACTATCATATGTCATTCACATTGATAACGAATTTGGTCTAAATTGTAATTTGGTTTGAATGAATGCCATCTATTTGTAACACAATTATTTAATAAAAATTGTGACAAAAATACAAAAAAAAGATTTTATTTACAATTCTCAACACAGAGTTTTTTTTTGCTCAATGGACTGTAAGGTAATACAGATATTATTATTATTACCTACAAAATCAGAAATAGTGTGCTCTTCATCTCTCCCTTATCCCACACAAATATGTTTTGATCACAACTAAGAAATGTTATATGCATTATTATCATATGCATGGTTACTACAACCAAAAATCTGTCTGTCCGTTCGTATACCTGTCCGTCCGTCCGTACACCTGTCCGTCCGTCCACCTATTCGTCTGTCCACCTGTCCGTCTGTCCACCTGTCCGTCTGTCCACCTGTCCGTCCGTCCACCTGTCCGTCCGTCCACCTGTCCGTCCGTCCACCTGTCCGTTCCTTCGTCCACCTGTCTGTCCATCCACCTGTTAGTCCATCCACCTGTTAGTCCATCCACCTGTCTGTCCATCCACCTGTCTGTCCATCCATCTGTCTGTCCACCTGTCCATTTGTATGTATCAACTCTTCTGTGATATTTTTTTTGCCTAGACTGATTTTGTTCAAACTTGACAGGCAGGTCACATCTGCACTCTAGTTAAGTAGCAAAATCTGAAAAAAGTCCTGACCATTGCCATAACAGTGGCCAACAAAATTATAATTTGTGTTTGCTAATCATCCTCACAACTTGTTTCACCTGAAAGACACACCTTTCCAACAGATAATGCCAGGATTTCTTGTAGTAATAAAAAGGAAATCTTTTCAAATTAAGAGGACAATATACTGTAAAACACATTGAAATAGCTACATGCTATTTTAGTGAATTTGACTCCATGCATGAATTAACAGAATCTTAATTTAGCTAAAGTGCCAACAATCTCATGGTGAGAATAAACTTTATTTTATATTAGCGACATCTTGAATTCGCGAAAGTATTGATTAGCTAAATTAGCTAAAATAACATGTAAGCTAAAAAGACATGTTTTAGGCTAAAAATAACAATAACTTATGTTGCCCTCAAGTCGGAAAATTGAAAAATTGGGTCGGTCTGCCCGTTATTTTTTGTTTTTTTTAAACTCGTGAAAACTAAGGGTATTGTAAATAGCCAAGGTATATGGGGAAAAAAAAACGTGACCCGATATTTCATATTTTTCGGTCGGCCGCTGAGGGCAATGAAACAATTTTTTTTTGGCCTTACAGTGTGTCACATGCTATTGTATGAATTTGTCAATTGCTAAATCCTGAACCTGTGCACTGTGGTGGGAATTCATTTGTTGAAAAACTCTCAAAATACTTGTAACATACCATTGAAGGTATATTCTTTGTGCTTTTATTGCTGGCGTATACATGTAAAAGTTAGATTCTTTATCCAGACAATAATTTTCTATGAGGATGTTTACAATATGTGGCACAAAGGCTGAGACAAACACATTTTCCAATATAGTAATCATAATTCATGTGTCCTTGATTTTGATTTTTTGTCAATGTACTTCATTAGGCAATAAATGTTGGTGTCTCTTGGTATGACCTACAATAAATCTTGCACTCATAAAATATTCAGTGTCAGTTTGTTGTCGTCAAAATAACTTCAAAAGAAGTACATGGACTCTATGTTGTGAATAATGGTGATATATTTGACACCTGTGTATCTACTTTGAAAGAAGGATTGTAATAAAAAACACTATTTTTGTTTGCAACTGTTAGTGACGTTTCACATCCGCACTTTGATCACTTTCTTTCAATGAATTAGAATACAAAAATTTAATTACCACGCCAACTGCTGAAGACCTCCAAGGACAGCCAAAATGTTTGGAAAAAAAAAACACATCAACAAAATGACTTAGTTTTTAGATTTCAGATGCCGAAATTTATTTAAGAACAAACAATACCCTCATATGACAGTATGGGCCAAGCAGCTCTGCAGAATAATAAATTGAGAATAATTATTTAATTTTCATAAAATACTAACTTGATTTCTTATATTAATTTCAGCCAAGAATATTGTATTGGCAGGAATAAAGGTATGTTTGTTTAATTTTATAGAAATCACTTACAGATTATTCTGTATGCCTGCCCATGGTTACTATTAACTAGAGTAGTAACTATGACTGGCCAAGCTGTCTTAATTAACCACTGACAGATCAAGTCTGGAGTGATGGATTATTTCCAGGCCAGTTAGTATCAACTAATCTGGGTTACTCAACCATGAAAATATTTAGTTTTTTGACTCCCGTGTGCGAAGCACAAAAGGGAGTCTTTGCAGTTACCCTGTCTGTATGTCTGTATGTC